ACTGCCCTGGAACCAACTTATTCATCATCATCATCTTCTTCTTCATCTTCATCTTCTTCATCTTCCTCTTCTTCCTCATCCTCTTCATCTTCCTCCTCCTCCTCCTCTTCCTTCTTTTTCTTGCTTTTTTCAGCCTTGACGACTCCCTTTTTTGCTGCATCAGGCTTTCCTTGAGCTCGGTGTGCAGCAATATCCTTCTCCTATTTTTCCTTCAGCTTCGCAGCTTTCTTTTCGTAAGGCTGCTTGTCGTCAGCAGCGGTGTTATTCCACATCTCTCCCAGCTTCTTTGCAACATCCCTGATGGACAGGCCAGGGTGCTCTCCTTTGATTTTTGGGCGATACTCAGAAGAAAACAAGAAAAAGGCCGAAGGAGGCCTCTTGGGTGCATTGGGATCCTTGAACTTCTTTTTTGTTTCCCCTTTAGGGGGGATGTAAGTTTTCATTTCTCTTTCATAACGAGCCTTGTCCGCCTATGCCATGTCTTCAAAGTTTTCTTTCTCTTTAGCAGACATGGTCTTCCACCTCTCTGAGCACTTCTTAGAAAACTCTCAGAAGTTAACTGAAGCATCCGGGTGCTTCTTCTTGTGCTCCTCTTGGCAAGTTTGGACAAAGAATACATATGATGACATTTTGCCTCTCGGCTTCTTAGGATCTCCTTTGCCTCCAACAAAATAAGTTTTGATACTTCCTGAAATTTGCCATATTAGGCAAATTAAACCAAACTGTTGAAAGCGTGAGGTTGAAAAATAGTAAACTGTGGGCTTAAACGTGTGTCATGGCTACAAAGCTTAATTGAAATTTTTTTGATAAATTAAAACCATGAAAAAGTAAAAGCGTATCATCATTGGTGTTTACTTAAATGAAACTCAGATGTTATGAAAAGGACTAAAGCTGTTTGATTTGGCTGAACATATATTAATTACTTAAAATATAGCATAGCCTTTAAAATAAGCATGTTTAGAGTTCAATGATTTAGAATTACCAAATAATATTCTGTTGCTAAATCTTTACATTTGTTTTACTCAAGTTTGGTAAATTAACATAAACTCAAACATACCATATTTCTAGCATACTTTTTTGTTAAGTTTATTTATTTATTTTGAGAGAGAGAGGGAGGGAGAGAGAGCAAGCGCTCACATGTGGGGGAGGAGCTGAGAGAGAGAATCCCAAGCAGGCTATCCACTGCCAGCACAGAGCCCAATGTGGGGCTCAATCTTATGAATTGTGAAATCATTAACAGAGCCGAAATCAAGAGCTGGACACTACCAACTAAGCCACTCAAGTGCCCTTCTAGAATACTTTTGATAAAATGCATCACAAACATATACTATCCTTTCCTTTCTTTTTTTTTTTTTTTTTAAGTTTATTTTTTGAGAGAGCATGAGCGGAGAGGAGACACAGAATTGTGCTGAGCTGTCAGCACAGAGCCCTATGTGGGGCTTGAACTCACGAGACATGAGATCATGACCTGAGCTGAAGCTGGACACTCAACCAACTGAGCCACCCAGGCTCAGTCCCACAAATGTATACTTTTCTACATATGTGCAAAATAGTTAATAGGAAGCTCTCTTGCATCTTATTTCCCAGGAAAAAGATACAGTAACAGGAAGTTGCACACAGGAAGCTTACTGTAGAGTGGTCTCAGGAATAAAAATCGTAGGGAGTTAAGGAAGCAGAATTGGACAGGAGAAGTTGAACTATGATGAAGTGACAAGAAAGGCTTCAGGAGATCCCACAGCAGCTCAGCAGCTGGGATGGTCCTCAGTGTTGTCCCAAGTTAAGGTAAGAAGACTGGATTTCTGCACTCCCACATTGACCAGTCACTGGATCTGGGCTGCGTCGGGGAGTAGGTATAACCTTAGGTGAAGCAATTCCTTTCCTCTGAGGGCAATTCTTGGGGAGGGATTAGCTATGAGCCATCTACAGGTAATACTTGGGCAAGCTGGGGAAGTGAGTGTCTTGCTTCAGAGGGGAGTATCCAAACAAAATATCACAGCTCACCCCTTGCACTGCTTGGATTCACTCATTTTGTATAAACCATTCATTCCATCTGAGTACAGCTTCTCCAGCGTTCTGGTTGGTTTCTTTTCCTCAGGAAACTTAGAAAAGTTAGCGGGATGAAGTATGATCCTCACTATGGCAGTTATCTCAGGCCTGCAGCTTCCTTCCTCAGCATCTCCCTTCCCTGTTACCCAGCCTAAATTCTCCTCACCCTTGGCTAGGACCTCTGCTAGTCTAGTTGGCTTACCTGCTCAGGTGACCCAGCACATTATTGTGCGATCCAAACCCCTGCTCACTATGCCCTTACCAAGATCAAGTTCGGCACTTGTTCTCTTACTGACCTGTTAGGCAGGAGGGTACTTAAAAATACCCAGTAGGTCACATCCTTTCTTTCCTATCCTTTCCTTCCCCATTGTGCCTTCTGCAGCACCTGGGGTTGTTTGCACTGCAGTCCAAAGCATGGCTAGGTTCTCCCATCTGGGGCACTCGGTGTCTCTACCCTTTGACCTCTTTCTCTGTGTCTCACGGTGGTAATATTGACATTTCAATGTACACTAAACAAACATCTACCTTCCAGTCACGTCTTCTATATTTTTTCAACATAGTATCGACAACCAGCAGGCCAGCACATTATTTTAGAAATGTTGAGAAGTTCTCGAAAAGTGGAGAATCTGTTCAGAAGGAATGTACCCTCCTCTTTCCCGTGTTAGCTATGTGACTTGAGGATGACGTTGGTCATATTAACTCTTCCTTCCAAAGGAGTAACCTAATTTCTAATGGACCGGGGTGAGGTGGGGGTATCTCATTGCATGCTAACTACATACTAGTTAATCCACCCATAATTAAGGTGGATATTTATTCAGACAAGAGGCATCAAAAAAGTACAGGTATACAGACAGCATCCATGTACATGCTATACTGGTTTTAAAATATTTCGCCTGTCACACCTGCAGTTCGATCATTCAAAGGTAAAAATGTAGATACAGAAAGTTGTTTAGTCTTTTTGGCAGCAAAGACCAAGAGTCAGTCTGGAATCTATTTAGAACTTATTTGACAGCACTAACCTCAATTTCACCTCTGTTATCAAAGCACTCTTGTGCTTTGATACACAAGAGTATTTGATTTTTTTTTTTGATAGCCTGTCAGGTTATCCACTTCATGTTAAATCCAACATTCTATGTTCAATTTCAAGTTTTAGTTATCCTGCATCTATTCCAATCATTGATTTTTTTAAAAATCCACTCCTGACTCTGACTTATTTTTCCTCTTTTTTTTTTTTTTTTTGTCAAATGATAAAATGCTCTTTTTTTATTTCAGTTACATAATAACACGCTTGCCTCAAGTTTGATTGAGGTTCTGGTCTTTTTTGCACTCAATTATATCTTGTAACAGTGACATGAATTCATATATTCTCATAAAGTGTCCACGGCATTCATAACGTACAGTCCTTTGTAATCTGAATATTTTTACAGTTTTTTTAATTTAACTTTACAATTATTTTTTAAAAGGCTTCCGTATATAGAAAAGATATATTTCCTTCAGGAAGATCAAATCGAGAATTTTCCAATAAGAATATACTGAGAAACAGCAAATGAAAATATCTATACCAAAACACCAAAAGTGGATCTCTATTTAAAATATCCGGTGATA